ATTCACAAGTCTTGTTTTGCTTTACTAAGTATCTGAAGGAAATAATTTTAGACTTCTGAGTGGTTGGTCAGGTTGTATTTTATCAATGCAGAAAGTATCTGCATGGATGTGTACTGTATGGTAGGATGGTGCATTTTCAGTAGTGGAGAGTGATTTGGACGGATGATGAGAAGCTCTATTTCTTATTGTGTATAAACTAATGAAAATATTTGAGAGAAACAGTTTTTAAGATCTTAGTTTGGATATAAGAAAACACATCTGGAAAAGGGAAGTAGATCCATAAGTTACCAGCCAAAGGAGGGAAAAAAAGAAAAAAAATCCTGACTAAAAACCTCAGTTGACTGGCAGACTTTTAATTTCAGGCTGTGACATTAAAATATGAAAAGTTAAAACATACCATGTTCTAAATCCTCCAAATAGGCTTTGTGATCTCTACTTATTTAAGGATGATGTGTCAGCAAAGATGATACTGCACATGTTTCTATTATCAGTTTGTGCATGTGATACTTACACGAGTTACAAAGAATATTTTTATTAGAATATTCCTCAACAATCTAAGCTGCATAAGGTGGTCCATGATTTTTTGGTGGGTCCATATTAAACACTGTCAATAATCTTTTCAATTAAATTTTGATAAGATATGTGGTGGTTCACAAGAAGTCTCCAAAGTGCAGGTTACCACTGGGAAACCATTGGACTAGTGCATTATTTCTTATAACTTCTGAAACTTACTAAATGTAATATGAACAAATTTACTAAGAATTCCACCTCATAAATCTGTTAAACAATGATATTCCAAATAGGAAAACCTAAACCTGGCTCTGAACTCAGCATCTGCTATTGGCTGTACGGTTGTCAATATTGGATCACAAGATTTGCAAGAAGGAAAACCACACTTGGTATTAGGACTCTTGTGGCAGATCATTAAAGTTGGTCTTTTTGCTGATATTGAGCTCTCCAAAAACGAAGGTAAGAGTAATGCCAGCCATAGCAATGTCCACAATTTGGAATTAACTGAGGCCACAATAGCAATTATTTCAGCTTTCTTTCAAACTTGCTTTTAGCTCTTATTGCCTTGCTAAATGAAGGGGAAGAACTAGATCAGTTAATGAAGCTTTCCCCCGAAGAGCTCTTGCTACGCTGGGTGAACTACCATCTGGCCAATGCAGGGTGGCAGAAAATCAGTAACTTCAGCCAAGACATTAAGGTATGTAGTTATCGCTCTGATAATTGAACATAATGGTATTTAAACACACTAGGCATAGAAACAAATGAGCCAGATCAGAAGTATTTAGAAAAATAGTAGTCATCTGCTTTTTTCATCCTGTATTTTTCAGCACTGAAACAGCATTATTTTGATCTTTCATGTCCTATTCAGTTGCTCGTATTTTCCTAGTTTCATAGTGGGGAAAAACCCCAAAGTATTTCAGACAAGCTGATGTTGAGGGAAGTTCTGATGTTCTAAGATCTGTTATTAGAGTGATTTAAGACATTTCACACTATTGTATTAGTTACCTTTTTACTGTCTGTCCTTCCTGCTCCTGGGTCTGCAGAAACCCATCTTTTCTGTCTTTTCTTGTTTTAAGGAAGAAGTGTGTGGCTTTAAATCTTTTCCCAGTGCATATTTGCTAATGGTGATTGCCCTTAGTACCTAGCATACTACAGAAGGGTAGGAAACCTCTTAAGGAAATAACAGTTATTCAGAGGGCTGTCTGGAGTAGCTACTGATTCTCGATCCAAGGAGAGAGCACCCCCGTCAATCCCTGTGCTTTGCTGGTGTGCCAATTTACACAAAGGGACTGAAAGGCATGCTGGTTGCTTGGGGCACATGGCAGATCTGCATAATTTTTCTTGTCCAGGTGAAGAGAGAAAACCCCAGCTTTTTAAAACTAAAAGCAAAGGAGGAAGATTCCCTAAGGTGATAAGACATCTTTTCATTGAAGAAAATCATGTTATTAATTGCTAGTTATATGTTTTCAAGTGCCACCAAGAAGGCTATTATTAAAGCAAACTTTTAACTAGGGTTTCGTATGAAAGCTGCTACTATGGTATAAAATATTATATGCTATTTAAGAGAAGTATTAAATACTTCTAAAACTAGCGCGTTTTTATGTTTTCCTAGTTTTTTAGTGGGGAAAAACCCAAGAAGCATAATGAAAACTGCATCAAATAAATGTAACTTCTTTCGTGACTACTGATTCATCCTAAAAGAGCCACTTAGCTCTCCATTTTTAACTCCATTTATCTCGTTGATTAAGAAAGAAATTTTTATAAAACTATTTGGAAGGATAGTGAAGGAATAAAATACCACCACTGAAGTTAAGATCCATATTGGAGGTTCTTTGTGGGTAACATCTTGATTACAGCTGTCTAGTTCATATCCAGCAGAACAAATTTAACTAACATTGTCCAGAATAATTAGCAGACATTCCTTTTCTCTGTCATCTGGCTAAATAAGTTCTATGTGAAATACCTTGTAAAATGGCTGTATGACCTCATCTATATTAACTGAAATTATGGTGACATACTTTCGACTTCTATGGCTTTTGAATTGGATTATCAGCAGAGTAAATGTCTATGAAAAGCTAGATAAGTGCTCTTTTATTTTTAATATTACACTGCTTGTTTCAGGATTCAAGAGCATACTACCACCTGCTAAATCAGGTTGCACCCAAAGGAGATGACCTTGATGAATTGCCCATTAATATTGACTTTTCAGGATTTCATGTAAGTATCCACAAACATAAAAATAGACTGGAATTATCTTGAGACCTCTATGTATGTATCCAACATCCTGGTTACAAGGCTGTCTTAGAATCCCCTTTTGTTTTGTAATAAATACAAAAGCTCAGTCAGATTCCTCAATGTCATAAAAGTTTAAATGGGTAAAAACTTGACAAGTTCCAGGGCACTGCTGAAACAGGACAATGCATCCTACAGTCTAAAATTGGGAGATATGTTTCACTTGGAGTAGTCTCTAACTGTTTTTTATTTTCAATTGGGTCCTCCAGCATAAATACTACAACGTGCTGCTCGATTCTCCTATTCTGGAATTCAGACAAGGAGAAAGAGTAGACTTCAAAAACCTTGTGATACCTCCTGAAACGAAATAGCATTCAGAAATAACATGTGAGCCCTTCCGATAACCAGCAGGAAAGGAAAGTGTGGCAACCATCAAGCTTTAAGTTGTAAAAGGGATAGAGGGTCTACAACCAGCCTGGGCAGATGTGAAAACACTTTTCTCTAAGCTGCTGCATAAGGCTTGTTGGAAGGATTATTCTGAGAATGGATTTGAGACAAGAATTGAACTGCCTGCCTATGATGAAGACATCTATATATCAACCAGAATCTTAAGTAGAATCTTACTATTCCTTACAGTAATGAAAACCCACAGGCAAAACTATGTTTGCATACATGCTTTAGTCCTCTCAAACTCCTTAATTAAGGGAAGCTCTGTTTTGTTTGTTTGCTTTTTCTTTTGGGATTTTTTTAGGAGTAAGAAAGGACAGTAGTTAATTTTTTTCCCTGTAATTTCCTACAGTTCATATGATCACGTTCTGCAATGTATTATAAGCCAATCAATAACATGTAAGAACTTGTTAGAGCAAGTTTCTGGTTGAGTGTACCAATGCTGAATTACTGACTGTTATTCTTACAGTAATTCAACTACTAATTTCTCTACAAATACTAACTCCTAGTGTTGTAAAGATTAGAGGCAAAAAGTATAGGCTACGTGGTTTTGAAAACTGATTTATTCTATGTAGATAATAATAAGGACGAATAAACAAAATAATATATAGGTTACTAACTTAAGACACTTCAGAGGCAAAAATAGGAAAGGTAGCAGATTATGACGTTCTGAAGCACTCAAACTCTTATTGAGGGTTTTGGGCATCATCTGTAACTACTCTGCTTGAGAATACCAGTTTAAAGCAGTGATGGTGAACCTATCACACATACAGCAGAACATGCAACGTGGGAAACAACAGTCTGCAAATGGAGGCATAACCACTACACCTCGGGTTGCTGTTGCTGTGATTCATGAGGAATGCTGTGCCGGCAGCATTGAAAGAAAGGGAAGGGAAGATGGGAAGCGAATTGTTGTAGACTGTTAAGAGCTAGCTCAGGCATTGGGGGAATGTGGGAGATACTTGCTTGGGTCATTTAAAGATTTGCCAAACTGAATGAAGATTCAGCAAAGAATGGAAACATGCTAGTATTCATTACAAATCTTTTTTTTTTTTTTCTTTTAGGAAAAAAATGACTTGAGGAGGGCTGAATACATGCTCCAACAGGCAGATAAATTGGGCTGCAGACAGTTTGTAACTCCAGCTGATGTGGTTGCAGGCAACCCTAAACTCAATTTGGCTTTTGTCGCAAATCTCTTTAACACATACCCAGCCCTACACAAGCCTGACAATTCATCTTACGATCTCAATTTATTAGAAGGTACTCAACTTGCTGAGCATAGAGGAGATAAGAATATTAGTGATTTCTGTTTAAGTATGCCTTCTAGGTTGTGTTACAGGATCCTTGTGTGATGGTGCCTGTGTTAACACCAGCATATAGAGCTTTCTCACTAGCTTTCAGTATAAGCCTGTAGTAGAATTCCCCGTTACTGTGAATATTGTTCATTTGCAGGAGCAAAACCTGTCGTCTTACTCCCTTTCCGGTTTCCTGTGCTGCTTTCAGTACCGTTTATATTTTAGCTAATGCACAAATTCCGGCTTTCCCTAATTTGCAGTGCTATCCTATGCAACTGTAGTAGTCTTCTAGAGTACTTTTCACATATTGTGTTTATATATATATTTGTGTATGTGTATTAGTTTGTTGCTTTTTAAAACAGGAAACATTAAAGAAAAAAAGGCTTTTGTGTCCACAACCTATATTAATCTATTGCATCAGCATCCTAGATAGATCCTAGCATTATCAGCAAGTTTGGACTTTAACTGTACAGTTCAGAACCCTAATGCTAGAGTTAAAGGGTTAACTGGTAGGAATCTTTGGCTGTTATCCTTTCTGTGGACCAGCTAATCTAGGATAATAGCATAGCTCCTGCCAGTGTATTTCACAGTTGTTCACTGATCTCAAAGGAATGGTGAGAATCAGGGGTGCTGCACTCGGGAGAATCATCAGCAATGTTCACACATTCCTCTGCACTGCCTGCTCCTGCCTTCCTCTTACTGTTCCTATCAGGTTTCCTTTCCATCTAGGTGAGTCCATCTTCCTTTGCTCCCCTTTTTTTTCATAATTTGGCTGCTCTGCTGCATCCCTGTTTCCCAAATCTTGTATCCCACAGACCACTCCTGTTTCAGGCATCCTTCTCTTCTAGTTTCATCTGGGTGCTAGCTGTGGTAGTGGTATCAAAGCACAGGAGGTAATTTTCCCTTTTCAGCTGTGATATCCCCAGTAACTGCAGCCCCTGCTGTCCAGGACAAATGATTGAAGGAAAGGCCTGCTTTTCCTCTGCTGCAATTTCATTAGAAATGTATGCTCTTGGAAACGTATACAGGAGCTCTGTGGAGGTGGCATATGTTCAGTTCAGTTTCTCTGTTCTGAACCTAAAGTTGCAGGTGTGATTCCAAATACTGAAAATTTGGTCAAATAGTCGAGTTTTCATTGGCATGGTAAAAAACAGCTGAACTACTTTCTGAACTTTCATAAAAGATTTAGACAAGATCAAAGCCTCAGCTCAGTTTGTAAAATATTACAATCACTGAATGCTAGATTATGATTTTGTAATTTTAAATACTGGCCAAATTTAACTTACGGTTTACAGTGTATGTTTTAGAGATAGATTGTCATGCCAATGTTATCTGTTCAAAGGCAAGTAGACAACTCTCCTTTGCTCCCAAATAGTAACTCCTGTAGTGTCATGTAGATCTAAAGCATCAAAATAGTTATATCAGCCAAAAGACGATGTTGTTAATGTGTTTTTCTGTTAATTTATTTTTCCACAAAATCCTGTGTTTTTACTGATGTCTTCTCAACGTAGTGATATAAAATATGAGATGTTTGTTTCTTTATAGTTTTATAGTGTTGAAATCTGACTCATAATTTATAATGCTTTCCTATTTTGCTTCATGAAATGCAGATTTGACCCCTCCTAATGTAGGTACTGTATTTAGTACTTTTCTGTATTCTATAAAAGTGTTTATTCTGCAATTTTTCATCTCTCCCCCCCCCCCCAGTCTTTTAATCATATCTGTCCTTTTCTGGTTGATTTTTGCATTGTTCTTATATTTTCCTATTGCTTTAATATGCCGTCATAAGTAAAAGAGCAGAAAAAACCCCACAGGCCTAACATGATGCATATAAAATGGGGGCAGGACTTGCAGTAAGTCGAATACCATATAGTTCTTTCTGTGGGTTTAACCAGTAGGGGCCTCCCATGAACCAAGATGTAAAGCTCTAGGCATATATGGGTGAGTAGAGATTTCTGAAAATCTTCATTTTCCTGCATTAGATGCCATCTTTTCAGTGACTGCTCCACCCACAGAATATGATGGAGCTGTTCTCATTGGCTTAAGACAACGAACATGATGCATAAATTGACATCTGCTCTGATAACACATAACAACTCTGGTGACATGCACTCGTATACAGAGAGAATGTCCCTCAGGTACACTGAGGTAGCAAAATGAACATTTGATATTATGAGGGGATGGAGGGGGGAGACCTGACCCCAGTCAATGCACAGCCTTTAACTGGGTGTTGCTGTTCCTTTGAGGAATCTCTCACTTGTGGGGAAGGCAGCAGAGTTTGGAGTCCAGGTCACACAGAAATCTGGGGAGGAGGAACAGGGAGGGACTTCTGTCCACCCACATTACCTCCAGTGTACATGTCCTCTGCTGCTGTTGCTGAGCCTGCTACTCCCGCTCGGGCCAGCTGAACTTGGGGTGCAAATTGCATCTTGAGTTCTGTTGTCTTTCAGAGAGAATTGTAGGTATTTGGAGCCCTTTGGATTCTTGACCCCATCCCTGTGGCTACTCCCTACTCAGTTCCATAGTACAATGATATCAAAGAAAGAGATGGCAATAAATAAAAAGGATACTACCAAATTTGCTCCTCTCTCTTTTGTGTAGCTCTGCCCCCTTTCTGCAGTTTTCCAATGATTTTGGCTATCTGCTGCACCACTCAGCAGAAGATATGCTCCTGATAGGATCACAAGGTATATTTTGAATAAAAGAATGGAGAGAAAAATTGGTCAGTTCTCAGCCATCTGGAAAACTTACGAACGCTTATGTGTTGCATGATAAAGGGATTTCTTTAGAGTGGCATATTAAATGTAGTGTGCTGGGTTCCCACTATCCAGAAGGGTGCTGCTCAGCTCGCATGCTCTTCCTCCTGCTTGGCTACTTCAGATTCTTGCAACAGTGTTAAGCATGCATTTTAAAATTCTCAGTCTAAGTGCCGTTGCTGAGTATCTGTTTTTGTAGCTATGCTTTGTTTAGTAACAGTTCATTAAATAATCTTGTTGCTGTCTTTGCAATGGACACATTTCTAAAAGCACTTTGCAGTCAGTATTTTAGATATTGCAAACCAACTTAAAGTTCAGTAAACCTAAAAAATTTAACAAAAAAAAAAAAAGGGACTTGCTTCGAAATACTATAACCTCTTAAGTTACTCTTTATAAACTTAAATTATACAGCCAAATACAAGCATGATATATCTTTTTAATGGAGAAAAGCTTTTTTTTAAAATACCTTTGTTATAAAATGTGATTCCTTATTTATTCCCACAACAAAATTTAAAAGACAACATGTGAAACAAAGCTGGCTGCCTGAAGACCTTGAAGAATAGTGTTTTTCTTTGTTTTGCATGTATTAATCAGTGACTCTTTGGTAACTTTTATAAGTAAATCTTTGAAACAAAGACTAGTTTGAATTTCACATGAAAGAATTCATAAATTAGGAGGAAAATATACCAGTAGGATGAATATCATCTATCTCATAATAATTGGAAAGGAAAATAACTGGTAAACTAGCTGAAACTTCTTCAATTAAATTTATTCTGTTGGAAAATATAAGTTACAGCTGAAATTTCTGAATTTAAATTTTTTATAAATATATTTTCCAGAGCTTTTTGTATTAAGAGACCTAGATAAAAATTGTAATCTTTGTCTAAAAATTGATGTTATGATATAGGTCTGTTTCATGGAAAAATAATATTAAGGAGGGTTTCTTTCAATTCTAATGATAAACGCATGTTTATACAGGAGCTTCATTTTGCAAAAACTTCCATTGTTTGTAGTTAACATAGAACTGCTGTACTAAATGAGACAGTTTTCATGCTACGTAAACCTTATTAGACAAACTCAGTACCTGTATCCTCTAAGGAACAAACAAAAAAACGGAAGAAAAATCTTACTCAGATTTTTACATGTGCTCACATATTAAGCCTAAATATTTTCTTAAATGCTCTTCCTTCATGTAAGAGAGAACAGCTTATGCAGCACTGATTCACATGCAATTGTCCACAGATGCATTGTTAAAATTTAGGTAACGTTGTATGTGGAAACTCCATATACACTCCAAACTGTAACTTTCTAGAAAAAGAGCATTGGTTTGAGAACTCATTATTACAATAGATTAAAATAAAATCCTAAATCAGGAAAGTGAAGGGTTTTCTTTTTCCTACTGAATTTTCTGCATTTCTGCATTTCTCATAAGCAGAGTTGCTAGTTAGAACTGCCAGAATAACCATCCCTCTTGGCAGCATCAATAGCTTCACAAATGGAACCAATACAGCACTACCTTGCTGAGTCTCCAGTGTTAAAGACTAAAAAGGTGAGGTCTGTTGCTTTGCAAAGGACCTTCACAATTTAACACTGGGAACTTCTGTGTGGAGAGAAGTGGAGCTGTAGTTTCTGGAGTTTGATGCAATTGCAATAAGTGTGTTGGTACTAACTTTTAATAAAAAATGCTGTTTCAAACAGATTTAAAGATAGTGTTGAATGCAATTTTGACTTATTTTGGTTTTATGAAATTATTATTAATCATAACTTTTTTCTCCATTTTATTAGTTATCTAAAACATAACGAACAAACTATTTCTGTATTTTATCAAATTGTATTTACACAGAAAAATCTAGTTTAATACCCTGTGGTGCCTCTGACCTTGTGCCCAGAACTGAGGGACTCAGAGTTTGGTAGGATTGACTCACCTTACTGGCCAGTAGAGACTTCTGTTAGGGAAAGGATGAACTTTTTTTTTTTTTTTTTTTTTTTTTTTTTAGGGGAGGGAGGGTATGAGAGTCATTTAAACATTGCTTATTAAAGTGTTTTCTCCAAGTAATTTATATAGAATTATATTTGTCACCATAGGAGAAAGTAAGGAAGAAAGGACTTTTAGAAACTGGATGAATTCACTGGGTGTAAACCCGTATGTTAATCATTTATACAGGTAAGGCTTTTTTTTTTTTTTTTTTTTTTAAAGGAAAACAATAATTTAGTTTCCCTTGGGCAACAGGGGACAAAAGAAGAAGGGATGAAGAAAGGGAAGTTGTATTTCTACTAGAACAGTGATTTCCAGGTTTCTACCCAGTGTGATAGAAACTTCAAAACTGCTCTGCAGAACCGCATTAGGCAGTATCTGACTCGGATATTCCACTCATCATCTAGAAATACTAGAAAACCTAAAAATTTTTATGTGCTCTCCTCACTCATACTTTGAATTACATTTTTTAAAAAGTTAAGGTAATTGTGTTTTATAATGCATGATTTTTATCTTATCACAGATGAAATGACCAGAAACCTCTTAAAACAGTAATTCTAAACTATAAGAAAGGACAGATGTCTGCTGAGTAGACTGTAAGAATCTATGCAGCGTGGTGTTCCCTCAAAACACAGGGCTTTCTAGATGCTTCTGCATTGCTTCACCTTCAAATTGTGCCAGCAGTTGATTCAAATCCTGTCAATAAAAGATAAGACATAGGAGCAACTGGGAACATCTGCTTGCATTAATACTTGCTGTTAGGTTTCATTGTTTCTGTTTTGTGGCCTCTGTAGAGAGCTTAACATGGAGAATTTGTTAGCAAACAGCTGAAGGGGATTATCAGGAATGCAATTTATAACAGGAAAAATAATACTTTTCCTAATATTGTTTTTTCACAAGATGAGTGTATTGGTTTTGATTATTCTTTAGCAAATGCATCTGTAGATGCAGATAAAGCACGAGTATTTAACATTTTGGAAAGTTCTGAGAAAACTAAAATTAGATCAATAAATGAAAACTTTCTAGTTAAGATGTTTTATCTATGCCTACCCTATGAAAGGAATTATTTAATTGAAGTTGGTAAAACCAGTGGCTCTGCTTACTTCACTGAGATTTGTAAAAATAATGAAATTAAATATACAATTTAATGTAAATAATGGCAGAAATCAAGCAATAGGATATAGGACAGTTTCTCCACAGAATTTTTATTTATGTGACTGAAATTTTTCAGCAATTTAATTACACTTAGAGAAGTGTCAAGTACTTTCATTGTGACGATGAGCTTTTGTATTTAAACATTGTTTTACTTTGCTTTAGTGACCTCTCTGATGCTTTAATCATCTTCCAATTGTATAATATGACTCGTGTGCCAGTTGACTGGAACCGCATCAACAAGCCGCCTTATCCATTACTTGGTGGTAATATGAAAAAGGTGGGTAGGTACTCTGTCATGCACTCCAGTTTCACTGTCTGCCATTGTGCTGTTTGTAATAATCTGGATTGTCTAGATTTGTGTGCTACTGAGCCAGTCCTGGAAGAAAAAAAAAGAATCTTCCAGATATTATCCCAAGGAAGAAATAGCAGTTACAGCACATATAATTTTAGTTTCTTTTTGGCAATATTTAATTTAGGGGCTAACTCGGGTACATAAGTAAAAGTTTCAGGTCTGATCCTCTTGTATGGTCAAGTGTTTCCTCACAGAGCAGTTTTATATGCTGCCAGGAGAATTTGTACAAGACTTGCAAAATCCAAGCTTTCAGATAGTTTTGTGATTGTTATGAAGTCAGAAATGTAGAGGGGGAAAAAAATTACTGTCTGTTTAAGAAGAACATATTTCAATATTTTTCCAAATTCAGTTTTGATGTAAGTATATATTGATTCATTGGCTTTAGTGGAAGTGAACTTGGTTTTCTCAGGTATGAGAAAGGGTTATCGTCAGAATCTTGCACACGTGTGTTTATAGCAAACACTGTTATTTTAGTCACAGTGTAGAAAGACTAGAAATCTTGCTTTAGCTCCAAATGTCACCATATCTAACAGTAAGGCAAAATAATTCAAAATACACATAGATTATAGGTCTGTACTAGAGAAATATTAAGATGTCTTCATTTATTTTTAGATTGAGAATTGCAATTATGCAGTAGAACTCGGGAAGACAAAAGCCAAATTCTCACTGGTTGGTATTGCTGGACACGACCTAAATGAGGGTAATCCAACCCTGACTTTAGCTTTGGTATGGCAGCTGATGAGAAGGTAAGTTAGGCATAGCATATCATAGATGTGTATATATACGTACCTGTGTGTGTCTTTATATGTGTCTCTGTGTATCACGGCAAATTAAAGGTAGTGTTCAGTTCACCCAACAGGTATTTTAGAGAGCCGTCTCTAAATATCTCTCTTCTCTAAGATAAACTTTTATACCTTTTTTGTAGTTTTACATACTGTGTAGTGATTGAAACCACAATAGTGTGTATGCGTACACGTCCATTTATAGAGACAATGGAAACCTTATATACTAAAAACTGTGATTAAAATTGTAAATCCTTCAGCAAGTAAAAAGCACACAACTTATTTCATGTTGATTCCATGTAGCTTTCTGTAAGCAGACAGTAATTTAAATATTTCTAAAAATCAAAAAAGAAGGATAAATAGGAAGAGGCGATGTATGCTATAGATGTTAAAATGGGAACAAATTTTTTAGGCCATCACAGCTATAGTAATGTAACTATCAGAAAATCAAAATCTTGCTAGTGCACTGAGCAGGAAAAAAAAAGTTATAAATTGATTTAAATAAAGAGTATTTTATGGAAAATATTTTCCACAAGTTAATTTTCTTACATCTGTTCCAAAACACTCAATGCTTTTTGTTTCTCAGACTGTTGTGATTCAGTTTTCAGAGTGACTTGGATGGTAGAGAGCCATTTAAGCTTATAAAGTAAAATTAGTTATGATGTGCTGAGTAAAACAAATACATAAAGAAGATGTAACAGTGAATATTATAAGGTCTGGGATGTTGTTTTATTCCTGCAACAACCAAAAAAGTGATTTAAAGTAATCAATACTTTATAAGGTAGCGGTACCTCATGAACACAAGTACTTGGCATTGTTACTGTGCTGAAGTAATATTTTCCTTTTGCTTGTAGCTTGATACTGTTAGCAGAGTAAAGTTCTACCACTCACTGTAACTCAGACTCTTATTTTGTTTATTAAAGGTATACTTTGAATGTATTATCAGACCTTGGAGAGGGGGAAAAAGTAAATGATGAAATTATTATTAAGTGGGTGAATCAGACACTTTCAAAAGCAAATAAGAAAACTTCAATTACAAGTTTCAAGGTAACCAAATTAATTTACTTTTCATCTTTCCACATGTAATCTGATCTGGGATTTTTAACCTAATTTGTTAACAATTTGGCTTTAACTGTGGCTCTCCCATCAGCTATCATAATTACATAAGGAAATATTTGACAGTCTGTGAGTCTTCAAAAGTATTTTACAATTCTATTAATAAGAAACAAAAAAATTATAATTGCTGCTGTAAGATTCAAAACAAAGCTAATAAACATCAAAAAACAGCAACAAAACCTTTCAAAGGGGTCACCAATGTTTGGGCATGGCATGTCCCAGATCTTCCAAATTGTTTATATAGGCACTCTCATGCTTGTACAAACGTGAAAAACAATTTTGGAAATAGGGGGGTGGAAAAACCAACACAAGTTTTAATAATAGCTGGTCAAAAAGTTGTACTCTTACATGACGGAGCCAGGAGAGGGAGCCCAAGTTAACTAGCAACATCTTCTGCCTTCGATGGCACTGCTAATGTGCAACAGAGATGCACAAAACATGAGCTTTTCCCCTTCAGCAAACATGAACAAATTGATAAAGGAAGCTTTCCCTTCACGTTTTTAAGTGTGAAACACGAAATAAGTCTAATGTATGGCAGGTGTGTCATGCTGTGTGAATGTCATTCTTTAGAAATTGTAGATTAATAATTGCACTTGCATGCAAATAGAATATTCTTACACAGGTTCATTGTATACTCTGAAACAGTTGTGTGTGTTCACAACAGGAACATAAGAACTTAGCAAGTTAAATATTAGAGAGCTGTCTGTGTTATGAAATTGAATTAGGTAAGCATTAGGTAAAGGGTAATAATTTCATAGAACAAAACATATTTTTTTTACTCTAGAAGGTAACTTAAGCCTTCATCTTCTTAAAAAGGATTGCTGCTTATTTCTACATAGATGGTAATAATGGTGGTATAAATAAGTTGAAAGTACAAAGAGAATCTGTCCCAACATCTTGCTTTTGGTCTATCAGTAGTTTTTGGGTGTCATTGGGTGGCGTTATGTTTTTAAGGTGATTCAATTGGTGGTAGACCAATAAAGATAAGGAACTACTGATGTAAAGTGACATTGTTCAGTATAGCTTTTCTTACTACTGATTTTTTTACAACATTTATATATATTGTCTTTCACAATTTGAACTTTTGTCTGTATTTTGGGGCTATTGCAGCAAGCAGATTGTGCATCAGAGAAAGCATAACTCCTTTATTTGTTGTGGACTATGAAAGCAAAGTTCTGTTGAATTGCTGTTAGTTCAAACAATAAAAAGACCAACATGTGGTTTTTGGCTTATGGTCTTGGGGAGATACCCCATGCATTCAATGTCTTCAAGCAGACCGACATTACAATTTTTAAGTGTGTAATTAATGTGGTGGTTCTATGGGACTTCACTGGATTTGAAATCCTAGTTCTGCCCTGGTGGCAAAGGCAGCCACGTGTCAGGTGGCCTGTGTGCTGAGCCCTGCAGGAGCAGAGCCACCTCCCTGGCACTGGCTGCTGACGGTGAGTTTGACATCATCAGCTGCTTATCTGCCTTAACAGCTGGGAAGAAATAATTGCAGCAGTACACTTTCTGTTTTAAGAATAGAAGAAAACACATGTCCATGTAGTAAATATGAAATGCAGACTACTCGTACCAGCTCAGATGTCATCCAAGCTGGAAAATTCTTATAAAAAGAGTGAGCCATAAACTACTGCAGAAAATAGTTCCATTACAAGAAAAGGAGAAAAAGAAGAGTAGTTGGGGAATGTAAATACCTTTTTGTTGTCTTGAAAGTGTGGTCCTTGGACTTCTTTCAAAGTTGCCTTCCTTCCTGAGGGAAGTGGGGGAGTTTCTTTCATTAAATAAATTTAAACCATTTATGTAATAATACCAGCACTGAGTGTGAACCTTATTTTGATTGCAAAAAATAAATTAGATGTCATAAAGGGGGGGAAAAAACCTTCATGCAATAAAGTAACCAAAGATGCTGTTATTTTTTCAATAGCTATGTAAGATGTGCTGTAGGGTTTTTTGCATTGTGAAGACAGAAAAACCAAAACAAACTTCTTTATACTAATCTTTTGAATCTTTTCTTTTAGGACAAATCAATTAGCACTAGTTTACCTGTCCTAGATTTAATAGATGCCATTGCACCAAAAGCAGTTCGTCCAGAAATGGTCAAGAGAGAAGATCTTTCTTACCAAGACAAATTGAATAATGCTAAGTAAGTTTTAAATGAATGCTCTGTATTTTCCTAAAGTGCAGGAAGCGCAGGATTTCATGGTGTAATGAACGACTTACTGATTTGTTGAGAGAGATTACACTAATATTAGTTGATTTGTTTCAAATAGAATATATTATAAATTCTCATATTCTATTTTTCTAGCATATTTAAAATATGAACTCAAATTCATGGCTGATATGATCTACCACCACTCCACTGCAATTAGTTTATTAATAGCCTGCCATGATCCATATTGTTTTTGACAAAAATAAATGCTTTGATAACCAGGAGCAAAACATCTGCCAATACAATTGCTAATACATGCTTTCTTCACAGTAATGTCCATTTTCTTCTGGAGCGTAAACACTGACTGAACAGGCATATCCTGCTACTAAAATCTGTTGTTCTTGTTGTGAATCTTGGCAGACTAGTAGATGCAAGGAAAATAACAATGTTTATTTTCTCTTGTTTTCCAAGGTATGCCATTTCAGTTGCTCGAAAAATTGGTGCTCGTATATATGCACTCCCAGATGATCTGGTTGAAGTTAAGCCAAAAATGGTGATGACAGTGTTTGCATGTTTGATGGGAAGAGGACTGAACAAAATAAAATAATGAAGAGATGTAATAAACTTCCTGCCATGTTAAGGACAATGAATGCCTCACAGTTTACAGAGTTCTGAAGCTTAGTATAAAAGGAGAAAATTTGTATGCACACATATACTCGTTAATTATGTCTTAATAATGTGTTACTATTAGTTAAATTTTGTTCAATTTCATAACACATTGATTATTTATGGGTAATATTGTTTTCAGAACATGTTCATTACCAAATTAACATCACATTGTAAGAATCTGCATCATTTTACATATGTTATTTCAGGACTTATTGTGAAACATTGTTTGATTTCTGTGGGTGTTACTTACATGTAGTCATACAAGTCTCAAGGTGCATTCTAATCCTATTATATTACTCCTAACTGCACACAAGTTATCATCCTTGCCTTATTATTTAAGAGCTTAACTCCTCTTGAAGCCAATGAGAGTCTTGGTATTGACTTCAATGAGAGCAAGTGAAGGCCTATGGTAATGTCTAGAAACTAATGACTGTTGATGAAGCTGATGAAACTTTTTTTGTAGGAATAATCTTTAAATATATGTAGTAGCTTTGTTCTGAGCAACAACTTTTACGGTCTGTGTCTTAAGAAAAAACAGAAAATAGTAAGCAGAAATGTAATCATGTCATTATTAGGTCTTCATATGCATTAAGTTTTGCAGTTAGACTAAACATCTGATTTTTAATTTTTTTTTCATAAAATATTGTATACAAAAATAATAAAGAGCTGGCTAGTCCAGTTTGGGGTTTCACATTAATGTGTTGCATTCCCTTATAGATTGTTCCTTTGATTTTCCTAAAGTCTATATCATGTGTGCAGGGGTTTTGTCTAGAATGACTGATGCATTGTCTGGATGAGATTAAGTCTAATTATTTTCTTATTGAAGTATTTGTACTCCTTTTTCAGCAGCTGTAAATTTTCACCAAACATGATGGAGCTGGACATTTAGTAAAGTTGTTACCAGAAGCCAAACTGTAAGAAAGAAAACGAAATAAAAATGAAAGGTTTTTTTTTTAAAGTATGAAGCTGCTGCTTTCTGAGAGTCTGAGAACAGTCCTAAGGATGGCAAAACCTAAGAATCACAATGAGTGAACAGTTGGACTAAGCTTTACATCTTCAGTATCTTGCACAACATATTAACAGAAAGAAGTTGCATCCTTTTAGTTGCTATTATATAAGGGGATACTGGGAGTTGAGAGAAGTGCTTGGATTTAGATCGATTTGTCTCTGTTTACTGGTTTATATTGTCTGGACAACAATAAATTATTAATATTTGCTAGTTACCTGGTTTTTATTCCCAGTTCCAAATGATGACCACATGTTATACAAAATTTGAGTTCTGATTCTGGAGACAAATCAGTTCAAGTCCTCATTCAAGACAGGCTCAATTAATTACTGGCTTACTTAATCTCTATACTCCAAGAATAAATGCACCCTTGAGAGAGGCAGTTCTAAAGTACTGCATTTATCTGCCCCAGCACTCAGCAACTTACTCTGTAAGGGTCAATATTTCCAGTTGTGTAAACTATTGCTGTAGTGTTTTTTTCCCTTTAGGAATAAATCTGCAATTATGTGTCTCATTACTGTATGTCCAGATTTACTTTGAATTTACTTTGATCAAACTGTAAAGGGTTTTCAGGGGAAACCATCTCAATTCCTCTTAGCATAAAAGTTTGATGTACAAGCTAAGAGCTACATGTCGAAGGATAAATGACACCTAACAGCCTTGTCTTCTCAGAATAACATTTATTTTAAAGGCTGCAAGTGCTAACCAAGATTATTCTAAGGGAGAGTCAAACAACTTTCAGTTTACAGTTAATCCTTGTAGCTCAGCTGAAGTCAGTAAAGCCATGAACGCGGTTCTGTGCCTCTACCTCCTGCAAACATGCACTAAGGAAGTAATCACACGAGACTAATGCACGAAAAATCAGCTTGTCTCTGGTAGCTCGTCCAATATACAAATGACTTTCTGAAGTTTGAGGATAAAATGGCACATAACATGGAAAGGGAAAGCAAATATATCTAGAAGTATTCAGGGAAGAGGAAAGTGAATGAAAGTGTGACAAGTATCTGGCAATCCGTGCCCTAAGGAGACGCCTCCGGCAGCGCCCGTGGCTCGGTCCGGCCTGGCGCTGCGGGGAGCGGTGCGGCAGCTACTGCAGCGGCTGGAGAAAAACAGATTTCGGGGAAAACGCACAGATAGGGACAATCGGCAGTGACATGCTGGCGGCGTGCTGCGGTGCGTGTTCTCGGCGCCTCACCCTGCGGTGAGACGAGGATCTCCCTTGAAGGAGATCCGCGAACCCCTCCCCACGGTTCCTTCAGGGCCAGGGCCCCTCCCCGGCCGACCCCGGCCCCCAGACGCTGTCCCAAGGGAAGGCAAACCGCGG